TACAACAGAGACAACACAAGCACAAGCTTGGAAGCACAAGCAGAAACGAGGGGCTTTTAACCAGGGCTGAGAGTCCAGGGGAAGCTTCTCGAAGGATGCAAACCATATGATGAGCCAAGAATGTGAAGGAATTAACTAAGCAGAGGAGGAAGTCAGAGGGAAAAACAAAGGCACAGATGCATGGCATGTTAGTGGAACTCTGCATAGCTTGGTAGAGTACGTGAATCAATCAGTGTTTGATGAGTCTGCAGAACTAGCAGCAATTATATATAAGAGACTTATTATAGGTATTTGGGCTTATGTAATTGTGAGGCTTTTGCTTATGTACCAGGATCTGGGACCGGAAGTGGGCAGGGCAAGCAGTTAGAAAAAAAATACATGCAAAGTGAGAGAAGCAAGAAAACTCTAGAACCTGGAAGGATGAGCTGGAACACACAGGATGGTCTAGAACCTCCAAACTTGATAACGGGAGTGACACAGAAAAAGCTGATGCCCTTCATCCTGGGGCTAAACATGGACCTGGCCAAGGAGTCAGAGAGGCTAAAAGAGGAAATTCAGCAGGAGCCACAGTAGCTGCACTCCTGATTGCTGCCCCATGCCAACAATATGGGCCAGCAGATAAGCAAAAATAAGCTGCAACAGTGCCTTCCATGAGTAAAAAGAATTTGGCTGCTCCTTCACTTCTGCCTTCTAACTCTCATGCACAATGTCTCTTGTGCAATTACTCAAGGAATAAGAGGAAAAGAATTCTGGAAAACCTAGTTACAGTTTAGCTAAGCTGACACAATATCAATCCATCACTGTCCATCCCTTGTCAACCTGGCATCCATATACACCTCTTTCGATACACTTACCTTCAAATGGCAAAATCAGCCATCCTTCGTATAACCAAAAACATGTTAATTCTCTCCCAAAAGAGGATACAAAATCCCTTTGTCCATCTTTGGGTAACATTGATTCGTCTTTGAGCTGAGTCGCATTTCCCTTTGATATCCTGTAACTTAAATCCTGAGATATAAATTTAACTACTATTAATACTTGGTAGGTAAATGGAAGTTGCAAGTAGGAAACAAATGGGTGAATGTGTACACAAGTGTGTTCATATCAAAATAAGGAAGAAATATGCATAACTGTCACAGTCTTTGTTTCTGCAGCTGGTCAGGTGGTCATGGCTGGCTGGCATTAGAACTGTTTTTCCACTGGCCATTTCATCCTTCCCTTGCCTTCAGGCAAACTCCTTGGCTATTCATGGTTATTTGACTGGTGTGTTGACCCAAACCTTCATTCTTAAATGATCTGGGTCATTAACCATCCTGCCTGAATTCGGTATAATTTTTCACCTTCTTTTATCACAGGACATAACAGTACTAAGAAATGCTCCAGAAGGTATGCACTCCAGACACACTCCTCCTTACCCTACCATTAGTAGTAACTCAATTTCCCCTTGATAGTCAGATCAGATCACTATAGTGGACTAATGTGATGTCCTGTGGAATGGAGAGATGATCAAGGTCCCTGCAGACTAGATCATGGCGTTTCCACAGTGCTGAGACTGGACACTGAATATATACTGCTGGCCCTGCCAGATGAAAGCAAATTGTTTCTCATGGTCTTTACTAAAAACTATACAGAAAAAATCAATCAACGAGATTAACAGCTGCAAACCAAATAGCAAAAATTATATTGATTTGCTGTAGCAATGAAATCACAATTGTACAGCAGCTGCAGTTAGACCGAGCACCTGATGACATTAATAGAAATCCATTATCATTCTCCAAGATCCATCTGTCCTTTGGCCAGAGAGGCAAACTGAATGAAGATGTGATAGGAATCAGCACCCTGGCACCTTTAAAGTCCTTGATAGTGGCCCTAATCTTGACAATCCCTCTGGGAATGCAGTATTGCTTTGGTAGATAGAAGCATTTAGAATAGTTTACGTTTGGCTTTCCCTACAAGAAAAGCCTTTACTCCACAGCTCAGGGAACCAATGTGAGAGAATTCTGACAGTTGCTAAGCATGTCCATTCCAAAACTGGCGAAATAACATACGGTGGGTTCCGGGACCTACCAGCCACCTGCTAAACAGAACCACAACAAAACTCCACTGACCACCTGGCCGCCATTAACTCCTACTTTGACTGGTAGAACACACATTCTCCAAAACATCAGTATCAGTTCAGAACCAATATTTAACAGTGTCCCACAAATGTGATTATTTCCCCTTCCTCTTACACAGGCACTGTGATAAATAGTCAGAAGTCCCTTTGGGGAAGGTTACAAGGAAGATTTATAGTACTTGCATTTTGGGCTGTGTAACAGGATCTTCCCTTAAGGAGATCTGCCCTCTCGTTTATTCTAGGGACTTTGGGTCTGTGAATTGACTCAAATCTGGGAATTGGTTGAGGGGCTATGGCTCTGTATTATGATGATTCAAGTCAAACTTCTGTTTGCCAAACCTAGACTTTTTCTGCTTATACGCTGCCCACCACTTTCACCTCTAGGTACACCATAATCAATTAGCCAATGCCAAAGATCTCTGTGGCTTAGATTATTCTGATTGCTGCTTAGGCTTTGCTGCCCATTACATGGATCATGCATTCCATCTCTTGCCAACTAAATGCTTCTGCTTGATCCCTGCCATCGCACAATCTCATCGGCCTCACTGAACTCAGGGAGCCCAGAAGTTCCTTCTGTCATTTCTGGCTTAGAAAATGGTCACCAGAGAACTCTGCAAGGATGCCAGGGCTCCCTTCACAAATGTATTTCTCACAGCATTGCAGAAGAAAGTAGATATATTGAGGGGCTGAGCAACCAGGATAAATCCACTCGAACATTCCAGTCTCCCTAAGCCTTTGGCTACCTTCCTTGATGGCAAAGTTTCTCAATCTCAGCACTATTGACACTTCGGACTGGATTATTCTTTGCTGTGGAGGACTGTCCTATGCATTACAGGATGCTTAACAGCATCCCTGGCCTCAACTCACTAGATGCCAACAGTATCCAGTCAGCCCCACTGTGACAACCAAAAATGTCTCCAGACATTGCAAGACTTCCTTTGAGAGAAAAACTGCGCCAGTAAAGAAGAATCCCTGCGCTATGTGGAAGCACACCAAGAGGTCCTAGTAGTTCAACTGCACTTAGTGGAGATGACCTTTGGTCCAAGTTTCAGTCATTCTCGGCCAGGGATAGAAGGACTGTTTCTACGGGCAAAGGAGTCCCAATGAAATATAGGGGCTCAAGGACCTGGTTTTACTGAAATCTGCCCATATGTCCCCATCCCAATTTTCAGAGTCCCACTCCTTCCAAAGCAATGCCTTAACGTTAACATAAGAGGTGTTGTGAGGCTGGGAATTTGTGCTGTGATCAGTCATTCACAGGATTAGTCCCTGTGTATATTTTTCAGAAATATCAGTCTCATGGCTACAGGAGATAAGAGTTTCTTTTTGGAGAGCCATAAAGCTTTCAGGTCCCTCACAAGCCCTTGAGCTCGGAATTAAAAGCCATGGGCCCCTCTTACTGTTTTCCCAGGTTCTCCAGCACACTTGGAAGTAACCAACCTTATAGTCCTTATTTCCACTAAATATTCGATAGCAGTAAATACTTGCCCACCCAAAGCTTTGCTTTCTATAGGCACCTGATTAAGGGTATCTAAGAGGTGGTAATTTGTAAATGTTTTGCTACTGCATGCCATGGACTGCTAGCATATGCTTTGTCACTAGGGAAAAAAGGCCATTAATACCTTTAAATCTAGTCAGATTAGAGAACCAATTCCAGATAACCTGGAACCAATTCAAAGAACGTATCCTCATGGTTATGTTCCTCTGGAAGCTTCTGATAGCAAATTCTGGATCAGTCAGGATTTAATTAGAGACACAAAACTACTAGTAGTGACATATGAAAAGGAATTTATTATAGAGATATGACAAGCAATTTTGAGAGCTGGTTAAACAGTCGGTGTTAGACTGTTGGTTATGTTTCTAATCCTGGCACCTGAAGTTAACAAGGCAGCCGTTGGGACGAACAAATTAACTGGTATCCGCAGGGATGAGCTGGAACCCACAAAGACAGGTGGAAACCTGACTCAGAGGCTGGCTGACTCCAACCTTGATCATGGCATGACCTCTAGGAAAAGCTGGCACCGTCCATCACGGAGCTACTCCACACCTGGCCTAGCAGCCAGAGAAGCTAATGGAGGAGCTCCAGAAGGAGCTGAAGGATCTGTGGGCCTGACTGCTGCCAACAACAGCAAGGTGAGCCAGCAGATCAGCAACATGCACAAGCTGTAACAGCACCTGGCACCCTGGACCAAGCCTTCCAAGCGCAACAAAATATGGCAGCTGCTGCTTCAACGTTCCCCTTCAGATCTCAGGCAAAATGTCCCTCGTGGCCAAGCTAACCCAGAACTATGTAGGGAAGGGAATTCTGGAAACCATAGTTACAGCTTAGCTAACCTGATATAAAATAAATCCCCAATGGGCTTATATGATTATGTCCTGAGGAGTAACAAAATGAAGTGAGCCAGTGAAGGGTTTAAACAGGGGAGTAATGAAGGCAGAATGGCAATTTAGAAAGATGCCTGATTTTCAGAAAGATCAGAAACAGGTAATATATATGGATAGAAAGGAAAACCTGGGAGGCTTCTAGGATGCCTGTAATATTCTGTATCTTGACCCATAATTACAGGTGTTCACTCTACAACTGTCTGTTAATGTGATCACTTAAATTTTATGTACTATTTTCCTATTTGTGTATACTATTTCCTATTGTACGTACCATTACTATTTGCATATTTATATCACCATGAAAAGTGTTAAGAGAAAAAAGAAAATAATTAGAGATGATTTGCAAAGAAGGGGAGAAAAAAAGGCAGAAGCTAGTTAGATGATGAATTGGATCTGACTTAAGGCAGTGGCAATGGCAACAGAGGGGAAGAGACAGATTCTAGAAATATTAAGGACTCAGCAACTAAGGGAATGGGAAAAGGAAGGAAGGAAGAATCAAGGGTGATTCCTAGGTTTCTGGTTTGGGCAACCAGACAAAAGGTTTGCCTTTCACTAATATAACAAATGAAGAAGACAGAATAGGTTTGATGGGAGGAAGAGTGCATATTGCACAAAACAAAAATAGCTAACACTTAATGAGTACTTACAATGTGCAAGTCACTAACTGCTTTATATATCATCATCTCATTTAATCTTAGTAAATACCTATTTTGACACCACCTGGTATACTGCGGGACAACTCCATACTGATGTTAACCACAGGGAGCTCACATCAGATGCCCCAGGTTTCAGGATATGGTTCCCAAAAAGACTTCCCTTTTTTCAGACACCAGCTGTTGGAGGTCCCCAGGCCACCTGCACTTCTGACCAACTGGCTGCAAATTTAGGGTTTCCCAAGACT